ATAATTCAGTCTAGCTCTCATCCCAGTTGCGTAAAAACCCCTCTTTGACCGATTAAAATAGTAGCACGCAACAGTATATCGAGCACCCCAATGTATCATGGATAGAAACTGCAATTTCAGAAAAGAATCTCAAATATTTTAATTTTAACACTTTTAAAGATAGAGAAGTAATTGGAATGGACATTTTTGGTGAAGTATATAAAACAACTTTAAACGACGACTTGACGGTAGCTTTAAAAAGTCTTTATATAAAAAATATAAAAACTATGAACGAAATCAAAAAGAATTCGTTAAGGAGGTAAATTTATCTGATAATTGAACCACAAATAATAAAATTTCATAAAACTCTATACGTATCGATATTGTCAATTTAAGAGTTCCTGCGCCATATGCAATATCTCGATATTCGTTGTCAAGCTACGCCCGATTTGGATGTGTAACATCGACATAAATTTAAACGTGGCACTTCCCCCTTTTTGTTATTGTTGACTGCAAATTTTTTTATTCATTCTTCGACTTTTAAACATACCTATACATTGGGTGGCCTGGCAGAATATTGTGGACACTTTTCAAAATATAATAATGCAAAAACCAATAAAAAACAAGATTTATTGTTCTAAGTTAAAACACATTGTACATTATATCAAAATTTCAAGTGATTTCAATGATTAGTTCAAAAAAATAAAAGTTGAAATTTAGTGTCAAACCGAAATTTATGTGAAAAAATATTCTATTTTATAAAGATAAATATGCAAATATCTTTGTGTTAAGTGAACAAAATCGAATCACCAGATTCACCAGGTCAAGGCGCATCTAATGATGTCAAATCATTTAATTTAGGTCACTAGATGCAGAGATATCATGTCTCAAATGACATCCCGATGACCATAATCCCGACAACCCATAAACCCGACAAACGAAAACATGAATGCACGGCATCCCGACATTAAAATCTTAACATTATATCGATATGCATTGCATATACAAATTCATATTGGCATCGGTGTTTACTTTTGATTTAAATCGTCAGTATTTTGAACTATCAAGATTTCGTGCATTCGGAATTTCTTTGGGTTTATGGGTTGTCAGGATGTTGGACAGCGCCTTCTTAAATGTTATGGAATAACTAAAAACCCAGCTACAAATGAATACTTGATAGTGTGATTTACGCAAATACAGTCCAACTTCGAAACATTGACTTGGAACAGAAATTAGAATATTTATATGATATTACTCGAGGGTTAAAGAAAATTCACGAGGAGCACGCTCCTAGCATTGATTGTTGTAGTATGTGAGTACGACCGAAGCAATAATTGCTCACCCAATTGACGTAAAATTTACATAAACTTCTGACTTCTACTAACCGAGTCTATAAATAAATTCTGATCTGTAAATTCTCATATAAAAATGCAGGAAAAAATCTTTGCCGTACCCTTTACCCGCTTCGTGATGAAACGTTTCAATAAATCTTAATAAATAACAAAAATCAATTTTCCTTAGAACACTATTTGTTTTCGAACGAATTATCTGTTTGTAACTAGGACATCCTTCCCACACTCGTGTATATATGCTCACGGTCGAATTTCCGTTTATAGGGCAATAATTTATTGAAGAGATTATCAAACGGGATGCCCATTATCGTTATAACTCTGAACTTCGACTTAGTGCTCGTGATACGCTGAATTTTCCGCAGGTGTTACCAAGCTTAATGCATGACATTAGATATCGATATACGGCTCACATGCGACGAAAAGTATTACGTAGTTTAGCTGGCGCGGGTCACTTTTTAACCTTGCACTACTACAAATAATAGTCACAAAATTTTATTGAGTAGTGATAAAATTATAATTTGTAGTGCTGGTTCATAAATTCTATCAATAACAAAGTCAATTTCTCTTTTCAAAATTTAATAAAAGTGATGCCGGAAATTGATCATGCAAAATGTCTCTAAGATTTAAAAAGCCATTTTTATTGGCATTGATCATATACACAAACAACGCGCATACAAAAAACTCGTTTTTTCCTTCTTTTAAAAAAAATGCGTGAAATGGAGTTGACCAACAACCAAAGGGAGCAAATAATAGACGCTTATCTCGCTGGCGTCAAAGGTCAAGAACTCGCACTTAAATTTAAAATTCCATAACATTACCATGAGACCAATTCCCCGCATTCTGAAAAACGTCCTGGTCGACAAAAACTTTAACTAATCATGAAAAATGTGCACTAAAACAAAGTTACTTTGAAAAATCAATTCTCCACTCGGCGAAATTACGAATAAACTAAATGACAAATTTAATACTACTTAACATTCGAATACCATCCGCAAATATTTATATGAAATAAGGTTCGGAAATTATACTCCAAGAAAGAAACATTTTTTAAACTCCAAATCAAGAAATTTGTCAGTTAATTGGTGCCAGGAAAAATGTAACTGGAATGAGGAATGGAAAAACATTATATTGTCTGATGAGTTCAGATTTGCGCTTTTTGAATCAGATGTCCGGGTAAGTGTGGCGAAAAACTGATGAAGCTTACCACAAACAATGTATTAAAACCTACTATCAAGTTTGGCGGAGGGTCAGTAATGTTTTGGGGTTATTTTGGTTCGGATGGTGTTGGTCCTTTGGTACCGGTAGAAGAAACCATGGATTCGGATGTCTACGTTAATATTCTTGCCAATTATTTCATATCCTGAGCTCGTCAATATCCAAACACTATATTTCAGCGAGATGGAGCACCATGTCATACTTTAATATATACGACTTGGTGGATATCAACGCATAATATTCAACTTTTAGACTGGGTTAGTCAAAGTCCGGATCTCAATCCAATCGAGCACCTGTGGGATATTTTAGACCAATGAATTTGAAAGTATGACCTTTACCACATCAAATCAAGAATTAATTAGTATGCTACAAGAGGAATGGGCGAGTATTGATCTAGAAACTTTACGTGGGTTAAAGTTAAGTCTACCTAGATGTGTAGACGAGGTTATTAAAGCCAAAGGTAAAAAGTACGAAATATTAATTTGTAGGTTTCTCAAATTTGAACCAATATAGCTACATATTCGATACTTTATTTTTAGTTGGTTTTTTATTTGAATTGTTTAAATGATTGACAAAATTTCCGGTATACTGTAGGGGAGGGAGTATCCAGAAAAAAGACTCGTAAAAAATATTAACTATTGTTTGAAACTCATTGTTGTGGCGCTAACAACAGCAAATGCACAGGCTACAGGCGTAGCTGTCTTTGTATCGACAATATCAACTTGAATACCGTAGTCTGCAGGTAGATTGGCTGGTACCGGAACTTCCAATACTACGTTAACTGTGGTTCCAAGTGGAATTTTCGAATAAAAGGGAGGATCCATACCAGCAATTTGAACATAAATTAAGAAATCTTTGGTGGCTGGTGACGTCAGCTCTCCTTTAACAAAAAAAGTTGCGGTTTTTCCAGAGACGAGAGGATCAGGTGAAATTGTTACAGAGAGCTCGACTAGTGGAAGTAATACGGGACATGGTCCAAACGTAGTAGTTCTTTTATGAAGTTGATGTGGAATAGCGTTGACAATACAAATCATGGCCAATAAGGCAAATACAAAAAGAAAATTGGTTTTCATTATTTTTCTGTGAATGTGATATTTGGTTGGAGTAAATGATTTCTTTGTGAATGTAATCATCGATGAGGATAAATTATAATTGCGTATTTATAAGTAAAATTACTATTCATGCATGTGAATGTGAATGCAATTATTTTAATATGAGATGCCTTATTCGGTTTACAGAAAATAGTCTCAGAATTCGATTGATCACACAAATGCAAGGTGATATTCTTCGAAGTTTGATGACGACGGCGATGACATAATTAGGCTTTGGTTTTGTTTTTCATTGCATGTTGATTTTTTTCTCTTTTCATTGGAATAGTTGAAGTTGTACTTTGATTAGTTGAAATTATACTTTGATTAATTGAAATTATACTTTGATTAGTTGAATTCGTAGAGATACGGTGGCTCACATATGAAAAGTTTCACGAAAAAAATTCTAGCACCCCCAAAATCAATATGATATTTATAGTTTCTATACTCTTTAAAGCTAATAACCTAGAGGATAGTTTGAAAATATATA